AACAAGCTCTTCTAGTATAACTAGGAGCAGAAACAACAAAGATTTGTGAGAAGAAAACGCAGCACAAAAGAAAAGGGAAGAAAAGTTTTAACTTTTTTCACACAGATTAAAAGATGAAAATAGAAATATATATAGTCCAAACCAAATGGACGCTCTGATTGGAGACGTGCAAAGCCATAATGGCTTTTCAAAGCAAAATGACTGTTACATAGAAACAGACGTTTTCAATTGAGAATTAAAATGTTTTAAAACATCAATACAATGACTAATTAGTGAGTTTACAATTCACTGAATAACGTTCAAAAAACCATTAAGGCTTTAATAACAAAACGTAAAACCATTTAAGGCTACAAAATGTCAAACATTCAAATCTCATATATACATATACGTATCAAAATCAGTTTTAATATTTCAAAATTGTATTGTACAGTCTGTTACAAATAATAAGAGTAATTTGTATAATAAAGAGCAATTAATATTATATTAAGGAATGAACATAGACATTAATTTGAATATTTCTTTTTGAGATATTACAATTTTTTTTTTCCTATCAACAGGATCAAGTCGTGAAAGCAGCCACTAATGTTCGCATCAAGGTAAGTTAACTACGTCACATCTTTATTGGGGTACAGTTCTTCTCCGAATCTTACGTGAACGCGGGATTTATCTTTGTGCATCAACTGCCTTTTTATATATCGTTTCTTATTAGATAATTAGAAGGGATAGATGAAACCCTGCACTGATACAAGTGCTGATATGTACTTTGCTCGACAAAACTTTGAGACAAGTATAAGACTTTGAGATAAAACTATAATAGCTATACGTAGTGAAACAGATCCAAGAAATCTACATCTTAAACTAAACTTGTGCCCTACTCAATGCCGTTTTTAATTATATATACGCCAATGAGATCAAAATATAGATAACATTGCTCCCTCGAGCTTTAATATTTCCTAGTCTTCTTTTCTCATTAATTTTTTGGGTAGGAATGGGATCTTAAGAATTTGAGTGAAGCAATAATAATTAGAGGGAACAATAATTAAGAATTGGAATGAGAATCCTTCGTAATTTAGTGATTTCAACTCCGACTCTCAAATAAATTCTATTCTAAATAAATAAGGTGAAACAAAGAAAGACATGAAATTAAAATTAAATTGGAAATCTCACATGAGGTGTATGAGTTACAACTAAAGGAAAGTGAAGCTTCTTGTATTGGAGGTAATGTGTGTTCATGTTGATGCATAACCTTGATAAGACTTGTTTTCATATGGAAATCAAATAACCACTTACTTGAAGTGATTTAACTTTTAAAAATGGACTGTTTTATTAAAGAAAAGAATAATAAATGTTGGCAACCAAATTGCAAGGGCGGTGGAAGCAGCCACTAATTAATACTTGCATTATGCTAGGTTGTTTACATCACACTTTTTGGGTGCGGCCCGGCCTTTTTCCGAATTCTACGTCAGCACAAAATACTTTGTGCACCAGACTGCCCTTATCCTTATTTTAGAGGCCGAGGGCAGGGGCGGATTAGGGGGAGCAGGAGGGGTCCCTTTCACCGAAAACTTACATTGTATATATAAGGCAAAATCTGTTTTTACCTATATATATTATGTTTTGAATCCCCTTAACATAGCCTAAAAGCATAGTTCAATGGTCAAGGGGGCTCAAAACCTTTGTAAGGTTACCGGTTCAGTTCTCACTAATTCCAATTTTCTTTCATTTTTCACTTTTTTCATTTTTTGAATCTATTAGCGGCAATTTTGCCTCCGCCACTGATCGAGGGTGGGCCTTATTGCAAGCCATGCATGACCATAGCAATCATGCAGAGAAACTTTGCTTGGCTGGAAATAAAACCTCCATAAAGAAAAATATATATATTAGCCTTCAAAAACACAAGGTCTTTTACTCTCACTCATCACTAGAACCATATATAGTAGGAGTACAATATCTCTCTCTTTCTCATCCCTACTGCTTTTTGCCATTTCTTCCCTATTTCTTCCTCTCTTTCTAGCCTTTTCTTCTGATTCCATTCTCTATATTCACATTCTTTCCTCTTTAATCCAACAAGCCTATTGGACAATGAAGGTATATATGATTCTTCATTCATCCTATTTTAATACTTTCCTTTTTCACTTCTTCCACTTTCGGAATGTTATTTCAGGAAATATTCAACTTTTGCTTCCCTTTTCCTAGATATATTCTTTGTTAATTTTTGGATATATAATCTTCGTAATTATGATTCCTCTTGTTTTTCTATATGAGCTGTTAATTATTTGCTTTTTGCTACTGTTTATCTCTTTCTACAGTTTATGATCTTTTTTATTTTTTTGAAATTTTGTATCTGCAGAAATTTATTCTGAAATTAGATTTGGAAGATGATAGAGAAAAAAGGAAGGCCTTGAAAATTGTGGCTGCTCTTCCAGGTAATATTGGACTACGTACTCTTTTCTACATTTTTCACTTATCAAGATTATTGAGGTCAAAAATATTAATGATAACTAGTAAAAGGAAAGAAAAGATACTCTCCACGTTCACTTTTAGTTGTCAAGTATTATAAATTTTTATTTTTACTTGTCACATTTCGCATATCAAAAGAAAAATAAATCATTTTTCTATTTTGCCCTTAGCGCATTAGTTATTCATTGAAAATTATTTTTCAAATTTGTTAAGACTATACACCAATTAATATGGGTATTATGATAAATTATGCACTTTTTATATTATTTCTTAAGAGGCGTGCAAAGTCCAAAATGAACAAGTAAAAATGAACATATGGAGTATTAATTTACTGGAAAAAGAAAAATAATTAAAGAGCAAAAATTTAATGTGTGTACGACTGTACGTTGATTCTTGAATGACGCCACGTCAAATGGGTCCTCTATAATTACAAGCTGTCCTTCTCTAAACGTCAGCAACTCACCCTAATTAAGTAAAAGATTCAACTTGAGTATCTTAATAATTAATTCAAAGAGTTAAAGAAAAGATTTGCTTTTGAATAATCAACGAGATTTTTTATTAATCTGCTGTCGGGTAAAAATGTGCTACTTAAAAGTCAGTCGATGAGAAGTGTCTACTGTATAAATTTTTAATCTAGAAAGGATGATCGTTAAATTGTTGTAGTTAATCAAAGTACATAATTAGTAGGTCGTTTGAACATAAAAGTTATGATTTGAAAAAAAAATAGTACTCCATTTGGAGATAAGTTGAAAAATAAATTTTTTCTTATTCATGAAAAAGGATACTTGAACTTTAAAATTATATCTGAACGTGCATTTCAGTTGAAACTTTTGTAATTTTATGAGGGAAAATAAATTTTTACACTACTTTTTCAAATTTGAAACTCATCTTTAAGAAAATTTCAAAAATTTATTCCAATTTATAACCAAACAATGTTTTGAAGATGAGTTTTGAAAAAAAGATTTTTTTTTATGGACAAATGGGTCCGTAGATATTTGATTTTTTTAGTATAAAGTTAAAGGATAAAGCTTAAACTATAATTCTATAATTTTGGGGTTGTGAGTATCATAGCTTAGATGATTGTCAAAATATTACCTTGATTTAGGTAGTTATCGTGTCACATCAGTAGATATAAATTTGTAGCATAGTCAATACTTCTACTTAATGAACAAAAATGATCGTTGTGATGTAGGGTTTTGGCTTAAATGTGTCATGACATTTCTGATGGTCTTGAAACGTGAAAGAAATGAAATTAATTCAGCTGCGATTTTGCAGGAATTGATGAAATATCAATGGATATGAAAGGTAAGACATTAACCATTATTGGAACAGTTGATCCAGTAATTGGGGTGAGCAAATTGCGCAAATTTTGGGCAACAGAAATAATGTTAGTAGGTCCAAAAGAAGAACCAAAGAAAGAAGAACAAAAAGAGGAAGAAGCAACCAAAGAGGAAGCAAAGAAAGATGAGCCAAACAAGGAAGGAGAAGACAAGAAAGAAGAAACAAAAAAGGAAGGAGAAGAGAAAAAAGCAGAAGCAGTTGTAGGCATGGTAATGCCATATAGACCTTATTATCCTCCTCCTCCTATGCACACATATAATTACCCAGTTCATCACAGTATAGAAGAGAATCCTAATGCTTGTGCTATATGTTAATTTCCTTTTTACGATTCAGAGCGACAAGGGGTTGAATCTTAGTTAATCGTGTGACAACCAGGTCATTTCGAGAATATCCCGTCGCATTATGTTATATATTTTAAATTGGTTGGGAGCACTTTGGGATTTATATGTATGTGTATGCAGTGGCGAAGCCAGAAATTCAATAAGGGTGTTTAAATTTAAAACACCCTCTACCAGTGGGTTGTGCAAGAGTGTTCAAAGTCTATTTTTAATCAATAACAAGAAATAGTTTATCATATACATAGTATAATTTGGCAACATAATACATCTATAGCTACGAAATATATTGTAGCTAAATATGAAAATTTCCGTGGCTAAAAACTTTAGCCACAATATTTTTTTTTCCGTAGCATCCGTAGCAAAATGTAGCGTAGCTAATAGTTAGCTACAAACTTTACATGATCTGTGGCTAAGGACTAATACTTATTGCCACAATTTTTTTTTTTATGTTGTAGCTGTGATGGTAAAAAATTCTTGCCACAAAAAAATATACTTGTAGCAAGCAGTTTCATTCTCTTGCCACCACAAATTAAATTTGTAGCTTTCTTCATATTGTAGCCACAAGATTTTGTATTGTAGCAAAAGATATAATTTGTTTGCCACGCAAGCTCAACTTTTGTGGCTAAATTTATAATTTACTCTCGTGGCAATAGTACTTATGTTTAGCTATGAATTTCATAATTTCATAGCAATAAACTGAATAATTTACCACGATCAGCTTTAGCTACAAGAATTTATATATTGTAGCTAACAATCCATATTTTAGCATCAAATATATAAAATTTTAGCAAAATGTTTTCTATTATTTTAATAAATGATATACATTAATAAGAATACATAATTAAAGGTTCAACAATATCATTCAAAATAAATTAAAATATTGATATACTCAAAACGTAACGGTGTTCTTTTACAAGAGAAAGAATAATTTCATACAAATCTACGGTACATAACTCTTTTACAACACGAATAATAAAGTTTTAAAAAAAAAAAAGCTAGCTAATGTGAAACTGGATAGTGATGGTAAACATCAGCCGACAATGAAGAGAAGTGAAAACCCAGAAGTGCTCCAATGCTTTTCTAATACCAGGTTCTGATGGCGAGTTGAGAGACATTAATGGATTGTATTTGTACCAAATGCGTGAAAGAAATTATTGTTCTTGTGGATATCAAGAAGAAGATCCACAAGAAGAAGGGCGCAGTAAATAATATCTTATAGCACTCCATGATTATCTCACCCGGTGACGCCACCTCCTGATCCATCAAGACGGCAATGTGCAGGACTACCAACCTGTATATACAAAAATGACATCCACACCACAAGGTTAGTACATTAACTAGTTGGGACTTGTCAATCAAGTTTGAACTGAACAACATTTCCTTTGGCAGGGTAAGATTCTGCTAGAAACAACAATCCGCTTCTTTAAAACCTTAAGATTATTAAGGCGATGTATATACCAAAAGACTGCAAACCGTTCAAAACATAAGCCTTATTTATCAGTTCTTAGTTTGAAGTGCAACACTATAAGAAAATACTACCAATATCATAAGCTGCATTTCTTCTTTGTATCGATAACTAGGTGTTTTCCAAGTCTGAAGTCTTATAAATCCTTAACTTTCTCGGCTCAAGGAAAAAGCACAAGCTAAACCAGTTCAACATTAACAACAAATAGTCCTAGAGTACTCTAAATAAAATTTCAAAAGTCCTACGGATTTTGACAAGAATTTTGTAAATACTCCATCCTTCACTATGTAGTATATCCAACAGAATTTGTTTTGAGAAAATGAGTGAAGTATTATACATACCTCATGGTTACTCCACTTGTTTGTTTCTACATTGATGCCCATAACACAAGTGCCTAAAAAGACAAAAAAAAATTTCTTGATAATTCTTTTACAAGAATTTTTAAGAGATAACAAAAGAAAAAAGTACAAAGCAACAAAAGAATTAAAAAAAATATAGACCTTTTAAACTTCTTAAAGGATCTTCATCCCAATTTTGTAATGTTGCTTTGCTGTTACAGTCCATGAACTATGGCTCCTCCCAAAATTATCACTTCAAAATCTTCAAATTTTCACTCACTATATATAAGAAATAAGGCAGAATTTGCTGAATAATTCGCAAAATCAAAACCAAATATTCAAGTCAAGTAGGCATGAGAAAATTAGAAAACCGTAAAATATATAGATACGGGCTTACCTCTTCTGCTCAAGAATAGAAAAGCTATGGGATTCTCTCTCACTCTTCTTCTTTGTCGTTCTCGCATTTTTTAGTCTAGCCATGGTTGAACAAAGAATTGGGAAAGTGGGGAAGGGGATGTGGCGGCGGGATTGGCGGCTGAAGAGATCAAACGTACTTTAGGTTTTGGTGCTTTTGCTTTGGGCCAATTGCAATTGTTGTTTGTCATTCTTTTACTTATTGTTATATACTTGTGTAATACTAGTATAATTTGCTTTCTTTTATTTCTTAATTAATTAATACATCTTAATTCAGTGTAAATGCAAAGAAATGTAAGTGCTAACAATTATTAGTAAGAACACTACCTACGAAAATATAAAAGGAATAAATATATAATTTATGTTAAGTAACATAGAAAAAATAGATTATTTGCATAAAATAAAGATATTCTAAATTAATTTTTTTTAAAGTTTCTTTCATCCTATATGATATTGTTAATAGTTTGTTATATACTCCTATTTCTGTTATATTAGATTCGTATTTTAGTCTTTAATTAGATTTATAATAAAATTATGCATATTTAAATTGAGTATTTAGTGATCAATGTAAATAATTACAAGCACAAAGTTACACATTTATTGTATAACTACATATTTTTTTAAATTATATTAGAAAATCACAAGTACTACTTAGTTTGATATGAATTATTATAGTAATTAATTTTTTATACACTCATTTATCAAGCAATATTAAATTCTCAATTTTTTGAAAGACAAAATCCTCTTACTGTATATGAATTATATTAAATTGTTAATTTTTTGATTCAGTAATATAAATAATTTATTGTACGGTGTAGTTAGTACAAGATTATAGTTGTTTAAATTTGATATAATTTGTCATGCACATAACTGTGGGATATAATTTCATTTTTTTAATTATAATTAAAACTTACACAGTCAGATCTCTCTATAACAACATCCTTATACAACAAGCACTTACTATAAAAGTCAAGTTTTTCTCATAACCGATTTTTATGTTATGTTATAATATGTATCATCTATAACGATGCTTCAATATAGCAACAAAAAAAATATCGGAACAAAAAACGTCGTAATAGACTTATTAAAAGAATTAAATGTTTACATATTATTTTTATAAAATTTAATATAGAAAATAAATATTTTTGTTCAAAATTTTTATTCACGCATTTGATTAAATATAAATTGCATTTCGTTTCTAGATCTTCTGCTATATGTTAGTAAAAAAACTAGCAACAAATTTCATTTTTCGTCGCAAACCCGCCATTATTTTACTATACTTTTTACAGTTTAATTTGTGTTCTGTTTAAATTCTATTTTAAGATTGAAGATGTTTTTCATTTTAATCTTTCTTATGTCACGATCCGGATTTCCCACTTTCGGGAGTCGTGATGGCGCCTACTGATAGGAGCTAGGCAAGCCAATTAATTTAATACCTCTCTTGATGACATCAATAATATAAAGAAAGACGAGACAATTAATATAAAAGCAGAAGTCTCAAAACATAAATAACTGAAACCAAGTGCGGAAGCTCAAATACACCTCTACCCAGATCTGGTGTCACTAACTCACGAACTTCTACAGAATGCTAAATACAAGGTCTGAATAAAAACACAGTACTGTCTGATCCGATACAAAGGAAATGAGTGGGAATTTACTTACCCAAGAAGCTTTGGTGAAGAAGTGCTCAAAAATTCGCTCAAGAGCTGTGGAAAAGAAGAACTCGTGTGACATATGGACTAAATCCCGTCAGTGTTCTGTTTTGGGGTATTTAAAATCACTGGGCAAAAATGCCCTTCGCGTTCGCGGGAAGGGGGCCACGTTCGCGAAGGGTAAATGGGTCAAGGCATCGCGAACGCGAGATGTTAGTCGCGAACGCGTAGAAGAATGGGCTGGGATCCGGGATTTGGTTATACGCGAACGTGATATGGTACTCGCGAACGCGGTGAAGGGGGAGGCTGAACTATGCGAACGCGGGGACTACTACGCGAACGCGAAGAAGGGGGAGCCCACAGGTACGCGAACGCGAGCTGAAGGCCGCGAACGCGAATAAGCAAAATACTGTGCAAAAATTGCAGAAAATCTGCTATCATCCTAAGTCCAAAACCACCCCGAACACCTCCGAAAACACTCCCAAGCCCTCGGGGCTCCTAACCAAACAGACACACTAACTCAACAACACCCTACGAACTTAACCGTGCGATTAAATCGCCACAATAACATCATAAACGAGGAATCAAACCTCAAAATCATCATTTTTTTTCATCAAACTTCATAAACTTTTATTTTTAGATATGTAGGTCCGAAACACGTCAAATGACGTCCGATTTCAATCAAATTTCACAGAAAGCGCTTAAACCACATATAAGACCTGTACCGGGCGCCGGAACCAAAATACGGGCCCGATACCAACACGTTCTAATCAATTTCCTTTTCAAATTTCCATATTAATTTCTGAAAAACAATTTCACAGAAAAATTCATTTCTCGGGCTCTCGACCTCGGAATTCGACTCCGGGCATATGCCCGAGTCTCATATTTTTCTACGGACCCTCCGGGACCGTCCAATCACGGGTCCGAGTCCGTTTACCCAAAATGTTGATCAAAGTCAACTTTATTCATATTAATATCAAAATTCATCAATTTTTACACAGGATTTATATTTAAGCTTTCCGGCTATGCGCCCGGACAACGCGCGCAAATCGAGGCAAGTAAAAATGAGGTTTTCAAGGCCTCGGAAGCACGGAATGAAAGGGAAAACAGGTGATGACCCTTTGGGTCGTCACATCTTATTTAGAAGTTAATTAATTCTTCAAGTTATATACATTGTTGTTTTCCCAAATTTCTAAATGAAATTATTTTTTCATAACCGCGTATATTTATTTTTTAGACTAACTCTTGTCATGACTTTCATAGTCGAAGTAAAAGAATCCTTCTACAAGTTTTTTTACAGCTTATTTATTATATAACATATTATTACTGTAATAACATCAATTGTATGTCAATATATATAGTTACGGTTAATTATGAAAGGTAATTGTCTACTATTTCATTTTGTCATGACAAATAATTGGAACAATTAAGCTAACTATTTGTAAGTTTTTTTTTTTAACTTGAAGCAACAATATCAATTGACTACAAGATTGTGTTTTAACTATATTAATGTGTCTAAAATGTTATTATTGCTACAAGAAGCTTCGTGTCATTGCAAAAACTTATGAATTGCTATAAAATTTCAGCACAATAATAAATATGTGGCTATATCATTTATGACAAATAATTGTAGTTATTGAGCTGACTATTGCCATGATTTATTCAAAAATTGAAGCAAAATTGTTTTCTCAACTACAACATTTTAATTTAAATATTTTATTGTGACTAAAAAATTTATTTTGCTATAGTAAGTTTCAGCCTGTGGCAAAACTATTAATTAGCTATGAAAGTTTATCATATCAAAATATTTGTGGCTATATTATTTTTTCATGACAAATAATCGTAGCTATTAAGCCAACTATTGCCACAATATTTTATAATTTGAAGCAAAAATATTTAGTTAGCTACAATAATTTGTGTCAAAAAATTTATCGTGGCTAAAAGTATACTATTGCTACAGTAACTTTTAACCAGTTGCAAAAATTTATGATTAGCTATGAAATTTTACTTTAGCAATAAGTTTGTAGCTGTTTAGGTAGTTATTGCTACAAAAATTAGTAATTATAGCAAAAATAATGAATTAGCTTTGTAAATTTAATTTTGTGGCTAAAAAATTTTAAGAATTTGTAGATAGCCACGGAATTCTAATTTTTGTGGCTATTAGTGAGTAATAGCTACGAAATTTAGATTTGTAGCTTATATTTCGTAGCTACAGATACATTTTGTTGTAGTGTGCGACGAAAGATTGTCAGTTGATCACCATTGGGCCAAGATAGCTTCGCCCCTGTGTGTATGTATATGAATATCTGTATTGTGCTTCTCTTTAGTTGGTCTTGCTTTATCCTATTAATTTGAACCCAAGACTATTAGAGGAGCTTTAATTTTGTGAATAGACAATGATCCCATATTTGTCTCTTCAGAATCAAATAATGTGTAGAGATAATTCAATAAGAACTTTGCTGCCATCTTTAACTTTTTTTTTTTTACTACAAATAACTTCAGTACAATGTAAATTTTATAGTGATATTATTCCATTTAAGGTGGATCTTATTATAGAGAATCAAGTAGAAGCTTGTTTATTTATTTATGCTTGTAGTTTTCCATTATTTCTCCATGTTTATAAACAGGGGCGGAGCTAGTGTTAACGTTACGAGTTCGGTTGAACCCAGTAATTTTATTCTAAATTATGTATTTATTCTAAGAAAATTCTTTAAATATGTATGATATATTAATTAAAACTCAGTAACTTAAAATGACTAGAATTCTAAACCCATAAAGTTTAAATCTTGGATGTGCTTCCGTTCTTACGTAAAATTTTATGTGGAAATTAAAGTTAAGTACAAGCCAAAATATTGCACAAGCACTTTTATGATTAATTTGGGAAAAATGATTAATTTGGGTATATATATATGGAGTCACTTTGGTACTCCTATCAATTACTATAACCCCACTAGGCACTATTCTTGTTAGGGGTTGTTTGGTCGAGGGAATGGAAATATAAGCTGAGCATAAAATTTTATATAATTCCTTCATCACATTAATAATTTTTACTTTGTAATCTCCGTTTGAGTAACTTCAGAACCAAACAAGTCACTAATGTATCAATGGCAGAGGATTGCTGGTTGTTCTTTGATGTAACAGTTCACTTTGGGTGGTCTACCTTGGAACTTAAACCTAGCCGCAGAAGCAATTTTTATTTATTTGTATGTTTTCGAAATAATAAATTAAGCAAATATAAAAGGTAAAAATTAACCGCAATGGAGAACCAGACAAATAGAAAAGCATATGTGCAAATTATGGTATCTGGATTTTTATTTTGGTTTTATTGTTACCACATGCAAATTGTTGTGTGATAACTCGAATTCGTACCGCGTAAAATAACGGAAGCGCTTCCTGTCAGATTTGTTATATTATGAAAGAATAGTCTTAGGCTTTGCAGAGACTTGTGTTTTTGGTAAACAGTGGTCACTACGACCCCCTTTGTGAGGAGGCATCGAATTCGAGAGATCTGATTGAAAATTCAAATAATATTTAAATA